GGTCAGTTTTGCGCATGCGCCGCTCAGAAGTGACGCACGTGGAGAGATCGAAACAAAACAACGGTCACTAACTAGTACAAAATGAGGATTTGTAAAGAAGAATGTCGGAGGATTTCGATATAAGCCAAGCTGTATTGAGGTGAACTGTTCCTTTAAGGATTCCAAGTGGCTGTGAAAAGACGCCAATCTTCACACAAGGTCTGTAATCAACAACAAACTTCACAATCTCTGTCTCAGCAATATCTTGAGAAAAGGAATGAAACCATAAGCAAAGAGTATAAGAAAACTTCTAACATTAAGCACGGCTTCAGTTAACCAGAGGGTTCATTCTGGATATTATCATATTCATGAATTTAGGCTGAAGTACTTCAAAGAATGTATTGCCAAAGAACCATGTCCAAATATCCATGTCAAGTCAAAACAAACAAAAAGCTAAATAAACTAAACAAAACAAAACAAAACACAAAACAAAACAAAACAAAAAATAAAACTGAAGAAAACAAAATAGAACAGAACAAAACAGAACAAAACAAAAAACAGAGAAGAACACTACCGAACAAAACAATAAACTGTAGAACCATAATAGTTTTTATTTAGTTATAAGACTGCTCTTGTTTATGCTGTTTCATGACTAAGCGCTGTGAGCTGGCCTTGTGCCTGCAGGCCATTTTTACAGTGTGTACAGGCAGTGATGTTGTAAATATCCTTAGTCATTCACATATATTATTAGCCCTCTTTCACCGGTCAGGACCCCTGTGATGGCAAGAAGACCAGAGGTTGCCATATAATTAACCTACTGTACGGACCAGTAATGGATCCCAGACACACATTCATGTATTCACTTGGCATTTTGTTTATGGGCATTAAGGTGGATTATGTGCTATATGTGGAATACATTGTGATTCACTTCGTGTGATAAATATATTAAGTTGATTTTTAATTAAAATGCAAATCTTTCAGCAAAGAAACATCCATATGCCAGACAAAACTGCGTTCCTTGCAGCCGTGAAGTTAATTGACTCACATCAGTTAATAAGGGAATTAGTAGAGATGATTCTCCTATCATTATTGATGCTGCTCTTACAGAAAGCAAACAAAGAGAATTAAAGAGATAGTTCATCTAAGCAAGAGCCAGGTTTTAAGCAAGAGATTTTGAAGACCAAAAATGTGCATCCATCCATCATAAACAGTATTCCATACAGCTCCGGGAGGTTAATGAAGGCCTTCTTTGGATGCACTTTTTTGGGCTTCAAAATCTTGACCCCCATTGACTGCCATTATAAAGTTTGGAAGAGCCAGGACATTTTTTATTAATATAACTACTTATATTAATAAGTATATTAATAATAACTTATACTACTTTTATTAATTTTATTAATATACACCTAAGATGGTTTGAAGGTGAGTAAATCATAGGGTAATTTTCATTTTTGGGAGAGCTATCCCTTTAAAAGCAGCAGTTATGAAGATGAATTTAAAGGGGTCATATGATGTTGCTAAAAAGAACATTATTTTGTGTATTTGGTGTAATGAAATGTGTTTATGCGGTTTAAGGTTAAAAAAACACATTATTTTCCACATACTGTATTGTTTCTCCTCTATGCCCCGCCTTTCTGAAACGTGTCGATTTTTACAAAGCTCATCGGTCAGAAAAGGCGGCGGTGGCAACACTACTACAGCAAGAATAAAAGTTACGCCTTCTTTCTTTGCGTGAACATTTGGGCGGTGTTATGCAAATCTTCCCACACAGTGACATAGACATGTGGGGGCGTGTCTAAACGAGGCGTTTTAGGAGGGCGTGGACGAGTCTTAACTTTTTTAAAGAATATCTCTTTAGGTTTGAGACTTTAGTCTTTGCAATTTTAGGAATCTTATCTATGCACAAACAGCTTGTAACACTCCAAAGAGAAAGGAAAACTTGAAATTGCATCATATGACCCCTTTAATATTCTGTAAGATAGCGAACAGAAGCATATTCTGTTAGGGTCTCCACTTTGCGTCTCAGAGCAAATCTGTAGTAGGTGAGAGCTTTGAGAGCTGTTGCTGTCATTTTAAGCAACTTCTTTTTTGGCAGAGGACAGCTCAGTTTGGCTCCAGCTCCAACAAAAATCTGTCTGTTTGACAAGAAGCCCAGAGCTTTGTGCCTCTCAGCCACAAAACAGAGCTGCCATTGGCTCCTGACCACCTCGGTTGTTAAGGCAGTGGGTTAGTGTTGGATTCAGAGAAAGGTAGAGAAGCAGCAGTGATGGCCGTGATTCTGCCAAGTAGGACATGTTCCTGGATCAGCATCTTTTGTTGGTCCTGGAACAACATACCTGTCAAACAGTCCAATCCATAGACCCAACCATTAACTATCACTATTGCACACTACAAGACAAGCTTGTCTAGTCGACGAAATCAATGATGGTAATGGTGTGTAACCATGTTAAACATTGTTGTTTTTTTTCAGAGTTTGTTCAGTGTTTTTTTTCTTTTCCATAAGATAATTAAAAAATATGATTGTAAAAAATTCAGAAATGCACTAAACATTTAAAATACTGTTGGGACAGACAAATGAAAGCATAAACTAAAGGTAGATCATGGTTGGGATATTATATAGTTACATGATGAATTAGACAATATTTCTTTCCCATATTCAAGGAAAAAGACAAAGGACAAGGACTGACTAAAACAAGTAAACGCCTTAAAAAAAACACTACTTCTTGTTCTTTTATCTTTTAAATGTCTGACTATTCTGGGACCAAAAAGGTCCAGATTGTTGAAGTGCACGACATTTAGTGTGCACGTCTGTGAGACAATCGAAGCTGTGGCACATCCTATGAAACATTTTTACTTGAAAACAAGTTCCAATGACAAGGCAAAATGTTGATGAAAATCAAAATCTGATGAAAGGGCCACAAAGCCCTTGAATTTGTGTCTCAGATCTTCCATGTGCCTTTGAGCTGTCAATTGAGTTGTCAGTCAATCCACTTGTTATGACAACACATCAAAACACAATGTCAGCTTAAGGCCATTTTCTCTGCTCTTGCTAGTAAAAATATGCCTACTGTCTGTGTAGGACTGGAGGCTTAAAACAGAAGCAGAGACTGAGGTAATGAGACTGGAGGCTCATGCTGTTCCAGTACAGCTTGTCTCTTATCCCTCGCTCTGTGAAACCCATTCGAGGGACTGAGGTTTAGGGTGGCATAGCCGAGAGAACTCATGACGGGGAAATCCATTAGTAATAGAGGCTGAGATAGACACTGAGAAATGAAACATTTGTTTAGGCACATTAGAAAGAACGTACTTGAATAATTCCAAATTCCACCATATACAATTTGACCATCCACAAAGACCCGCCCCCTACTTACTGTTGCTATGTCTGTCAAGCCATGGTGCTCTCACGCCACACATCATGACCTCATGCTGTTAAAAATACATTGCGGATCAAAGAGGAAACTGACAAGGCGCCGACAGACAAGACAGAGCAGGCGGCTACTTCTGGTATGAAACAAAATCTTATCTTTTAAGTGGTCATTTTTTAAAAGAAATTCAAACAATAAATACCGCTTTGTGGCTCTTTAATGTGTCGTGACTTGTGACAGATCACTGCAGCTCCTCAGTTCAAGCGGCACGTGAACCGATCGTCTTTTCCCATTTACTTAAAGGGGTCATGAACTGAGAAACCAAAGTTCCCTTGATCTTTTGGCATATAAGAGGTCATTGTACTATAAAAAACATCCTGTAACTTTCAGAACTCAAAACTTTCTCGTTAGTGTAAAAACAGCCTATACTGAAGCCAGTCTGCCAAAACTACAGCTTGTGGAATGTACCACTCTATGATGTATAATAGTGTGGATAAACACCGCCTCCGCAGAAGAACAATGCCTGCTTCTACATAGTTGCCTGTTTAGCCCTGCCCACCAATTTGCGCATGTTGTGTAAACGTGAGATGCTAATCTACTCTCCTGTCTTGATTTGTTTTTGTCGGACAAAATGGCGAATTCGGCGTTATTGGTCAGATCACCTGTCAATCAAGCTCCCTGCGAAGGGTCAATTCCACAAAAAAATGCGTACTATATCCATACAGCACACAGCATACGGTATATGTATACTGAAAAGAATACGCTCTTCTTTAAACATGGCCTTTAAACGAAACCTAAAAAGCACTTCCAACATAGGACAATATAAAAAAATTAAAAACATAGGACATTACCTGATGTACAGTAAAAAGGGGTGACAGTCCAGTCCCTCACTCTGTGTACCTGACTTGTCAAAAATGTACACATTTTCATGGCATTACTACCTGTCAAAGGAAAAAGCATCCAAATCAAAACATCTTTTATATATGATGTTGCAAAAATCAACAGACAACTTCACAGAAATAACCCAATTAAATTCAGATTAAAATGCCCTCATGGACTACAAAAAGAGTGTATTTGGGTAGTCCCTTCGGGTGGCTAAATTGACTGAAATGCACGAGGAAGATAGTGTATCACATTAGCCTAGATTAGCGCGGCACCTTTTCACAGCGGTGTGAAATAGCTTTTCTGTCACTTGTCACAGACCATTACACATCTCTCTGTTTCTGTTATGTTTAAACAACTAGGAGACAAGGCACTTTAAAGGCTGTAGTTTAAACATCCCGATAAATCCGGTGAACTTTCAGCTGTAAGTGCTCTCAGTGGACACCAACTTTTGCTAACTTGTCAGAATCCAGAGACAGTAGAAGTCATTGTAGGGCTGGACGATATGTCCAAAATTGATATCACGATATATTTCTTAATTTCGGTCGAATTGTGAACTTAAAGAATAGGATTGCAGCTAGTGTTAGCCATGCATTACATCAAAGTGTCATAAAAGTGTGGAGCTGAGAAAAAAAATACTTGCACATTTATATAACGGAGCACATTTATAAGTGAAAATAAAGTAAGAATATCCCAATTTGACTTCAGATGAATGTAGCATTACCAGTTGACTCTTTACTTTGAACAGAGGGACAGAAAGCGGGGAACTCTGTCTGGTCTTAATATTACGCCTCTCATCCATCACTCAAGACCGCTTCATTCAGTCGCAGAGCTGTGAAACGGCTGTGACCTAGTTCACTCAGCATCAAGCACATTCCCATCTCTTACAATAACATTCAAACTTCTGTAGAACACCATAAAGACTGTTTTAATAAGACGCCAAGAAAGCAGCTACAACAAAATTCAATTTCTTTTGCAACGCACCTGCATGTGCATGAATAACAAATGCAGTTTGGAGATACCTTTTGGGTGTATTCACAATATCAGTGTAACCAATAAAGGACAAACATCAGGTTCATAACTGCATTACAACATTTCGCAAAACAAAAAAAGGCAAAGAATGATAAAATAATACAAACAAAAACAAAAACCTGTAGTGACATTTGACTTGATGTAATCCATCAACATTGTGTAGAAATACCCAAGACAAAAAACAAAAAGACAATCCAAAAGGTAAGAACTGCAATTTCACATTCCAATGTCTTGAGTGGTTGTTACAGAGATATTTATGGGGCAGTTCTGATTCCAAATAGCTTTCAGCTGTATCATGGGCCAATCCGTAAGAACTGCTCCATTCAAAGTCCCATCTGACTCAACTGCCCTCTAAACGTCTAAAAGAACGCACAAATCACAGTTTGAGGTGACATGCTATTAACGTAGCTAACTATAGTGATATTTTTCTTTTGCAGTTCTTTCCTCTTGTGCACTCTAAATTTAGGCCCTAATGTGCTATGAGTAAATGAAGCCTTAAATTCAAGTCACTTGTTCTTCCGGTCTGTCCACCTGATGATTTTCTTACCAGAGCTATTAGATCCAGAGCTCGGAGTGAACAGGACTTGGGAATGAAATTCTTTATTACTGTGATCATAACTAAAAACAGCAGCTAACATTCATTAAAAGCATGAAAAAAAAAAAAAGAGTTATCAAGTATCTGCAAGTATATGCTAACCATAATTTCATCCCTAAGGCAAGTCTCGGAGAGCAAACTGAGCCTTGGCTTAAATAATAAAAAGAAAAGTCTTAATCTATGGGTGCAGTCAATCAGGTCATCTATTCCATTGATTAAAAATACAAATTCCCGTACAGACTTAAAGTAGGAAGGCAAAAGTAACATCAGCACCCTGAGATATCTTTGGTATTATTCTTTCTCTGGAAGCGTGTGTCCGAGGGGTCAAATCCCCTCTCTCGGGCCCCAAAAATGGCCCAGCTGGGGGTCTTGGCCATATAGTCCATCGCTGAGAAGCTCTTGGTGCCCCCGCTCTCCTCGTATTCCTGAATGAGCTCCTGGAAGCGTTCGTAGTCAATCCACGTCCACCACTCCCCGTCGACTTTGAACTGCAGACACACAGGAAAGAAAAGAGGGTAAGAAAGACAGCAGGTGATAGAGCACTGTGATAAATAACACAAAAAAACAGACACACAGGTGAAGATTGGACTGAGTCTCCCTGCCTGACAGGTGTTCACTTTGACTAATGAGGTCTGATGGTGTTTTCCAAGCATGTACGCTGCCAACTGGGCAAAGCTCTGGTACTAAACACCAAGGCAGGTGCAATTCAGAGGACGAGGCCAAAGGAAGTTGCTTTTGGAGAACAGAGTTCGTAGTATTTAATGACACAGTCCCAAATGACACCCTCAGTCCTTGAAGTCCTTTTTCAAGTTCATACTTGAAATGCCAGCACCTCAAGAGTGAAGCTGCAAACTAGGCACTCTTCAGAATCAAAAGATATCAAACGGGACACCCTGCAATCTTCACGACAAGTGTAGAAGGTGGCAGGGTCCACATGAAGAATGTCATTTGGGGTGCAGCCAGTGATGTGCTAAGAGTATAACTCACAAACTTGCACATCAAATTGAGATGCAGAACCTATGGTCTCCCATCCACACCTTTCGAGCAAACCATGTGTTTCAATCAATCTTACCCAATCTTGACTCTCAAGCTTTGGTTCTATGTCAGGGTGTAGGCACAGCTTAGTTCTGCTTGTTTTGCCACCCTATACATTTAATCAATTTCCATCAGCACCTTTAAACCATTCTCTGACACACAGGCGTAAAGAGTCCTAGTGGGGAGCTGCACTGATTACATTTCACACTGCACTGATGAGATGCTGTACTGTGATCCATGCGCAGCATGGTGATGCAATCAGCTATAGGTGCCAGGCTCCTGTTCCTCCCATCTCTGGACATGCTCTTTCTTTCCAAGACCTCCTCGTTGCCACAAAATCGATTCATCTGTAGTATATTTTGCTCTGAGGACATTGCCGAGGTGCCTGATTGGGTTGCTGGAGACTAGGGTCCAGGGAAAAGCACTTCAAAGTGAAAGTCAAGTCTTGAAAGTAAGAATAACTCTTTCACGGGAAGCATGCTTTCAAGTCAAGACTTGAGGGACCAGAACAGAACTTGGAATAAGAAGTCTTAACTGCTGCAAAGTTGTTGTTTGGACAGTTCCTGAAGAGCTCTGTCCAAGCTAACAAAGCTGTCAAGAGTGGATCAGACCACCGCAGGCTCTCTTGAAGACAACCACTGTCCAACTTGCTGAAAGCTGCCCGCTGCTTCAAAGAAAATCTGGTCACGTGCACCACAATTGAGAAGCAAACATACCTTCCCACTACTGAAAATGTCAAGACTACCACTTCCTCTTAGTGCAGTGCCAGGAATGTGATCTTTGTCCTCGTGTCATATTACCTATGTTTAGCTGCTTACCTGCAGCTACCTAGAGGCAGCCTTGAAAGCTATCTCTGCAGTCAGTCTGTAAGGCCTTAAGCAGTTTGCATCCTCTGGGGAAACTTCTTCCTCAGCTGCATGTTTTCATTACTGAGTAATTTGCTGAGGCGAATCACTCCATAGCCTTCTCACAGATACTCAGCAATCAGAAGATGAAGGCTCTCATGGGTCCCAACTCATCTCTCCAGGAAGACCAAGGATACATCCCCAACTGCTTTAAAGATCTCTTCCCCTCCTTGTCAATTTTACACACATGCAGTTTGGCTCAGCGTTCTCCTATAATACTCACATTAGGAAACAAGGTGTTTGGAAGTAACTAAAAATAGCATTGCTACTAGATTATTTACACCTGCAACAACTGAGCAAGGTGACTAAGCAATAATCCAAATCACTCATCTCTCTCCCAAATTGTGTTGGGAAATCCAGTTTATTTTCTGTTCAATTTAATGGAAAAAACAACAAATAAACAAACTGGGTCTTCCAGTGCCAAAGTCAATCGTTTTAAATGCTACACATTTATTTATTCATCACAACAAATCAATATTCAGTTTAAGATTTGCTAAAAATTAGTGACAAATTAAATGCACAATATCGACAAATAAGATTTTGATAAGTGATATAATTAACATAGCATAATCAATTTGCAGCTGTAACCTTAACCAATATCCTCATTTGTTTGTGCCAGATAAATATCACAAAGGGTAGCTGAACTATAAATTATGAACTTCTAACTTGGCAAGCTATTGTTTCAAAGTAGCTTCCTTAAGTAGAGTCCAAAATGGAGAAAACAGACAGGAATACTCAACTTTAGATGCCATGTAAGAGAGGGAAACTGGCAGCCCTTTTATTTTCGGAGTGCAAGACTATCCACATCTGCTATGCCAACAGATGGCCATGCATTGAGCGAGTGCACTTTAAGGCTTCATTCATTTGTAAAATTGCTTCTGCACAGCTAACTGGGAGCACTAAACATATGAAGTCACTATGCAAATGTGGTTTTGGGATGCCACATCACCCAACACAGATTACAGCCCCTCTTTCATTCCCTAAACACTATAAACATCCCCCAAAATTAATGATGGTCTTGTCTGTACGGTGTGCTGCGGGGCTTCTACAGTCTGGTGTATTTACTGAGAGACTACTGGGACTTTAAAGTTTAAATGGGTAATCTTGTTTACGAATTAATGAATGTTCATAGGGCCAGCTAAAAAAATGCAACATGCTTCAAGGCTACATCTCTTATTAGTTGTGCTTGCTAAGGCAAGCATCTCTATTACTATTGCTCATACTTAGGGCTGAAAGTAAACCTGAAGTATTAAATTTAGGTGCACAACTTGCTCTGCACAGATTGTGTTATGAACATGAATAACTAAACTGTTCTGCTTGCTGAATAGAAATGTGCTATTTCTTTTCTAAATGATCAGGATGTTAAAAGGGAGAAAATATCCCAAAGACTTACATCGAAAGAGGGACCAGATTTATATCTACTGACCAGAATATGACAAGATATTTTAGAAAATCAAGCTTCTTCTACTTAAACTCTTGATGGATTTAAATCCTCGTTTAACTCTGCTTTACTTTAATTTCCTTCCTTCCTCTAGCTCAGAACATGGAGAGATAGGGAGGGCTTTATGAGGACGCAGTGCTGTAACTTTATGAGAATATAAGCTGTCAGCTCCACACAGGGAAGAGCTGTAAATTCATTCAGAGGGTCTTACCTCGTCAAGAACACTGCGGATAAAGGGTGAATGTTTGCAACCCTGAAATAAGAAAAAAACGAATGTGGCAGCTAAACGAAGTCAATGCAATGAAATGCTGTCGGTGGCCTTCCAAGGTCCAATGTGAAAAATGGCTTCTTATTACAGGAACAATGGGCCTTTTTAGCACCCTCGTGAGTCACGGCCGAGCCGAACGGAAACTGAGAGTGAGTCCCTGTGCGGTTGGTGGTGATGTGGTGAGGAATGAATTTTCACATCAAATTCAATGCCTTTTCATTTAGACGTCTGTCACAGGCAATGCAAAGAGAGCTCTTTAACATGCATAAAGCAGGGACAAAAACCTTGCAGAGGAAGGCAAAGCAGCTCGGAGCTTGTGTACTGGGGACTGGCTTTATCAGTGTGTCACTTGAATTTCAGAAGCAAGACGGTATAACTACTGAAGACTGCAAAGATGTCAGGATCATTTGGATAAAATGGGGGTTTGCGTTTGAAGTTTTCACATTACACCCTAAAGCATCTTCCTCAGTGAATTATGAGATGCAGCTCCGCCCACAAGGAGTGACATCATGCATCTAACCATATATAATTGGTTCACAATGGCGTGAGGAGGCTGAAGAGCTGTATAATCTTCGTCCAACAAACCACACACCTGTGAAAAGTCCTTCATTAATCTTTTGTTGCCGTTATTACTGTATTGGCACTCTATCTTCATAGGTCTCGCATCCAGCCTCCTAAGCTGCCCACCAACAAACCTCTTCGCCTTGTTTCCAAACACTTGATGGTAAGGCAGTGGAGGACCGAACACCTTCTCATGCCTGTGTGGGCTTCAGTGGAGGTTGCTCTGGGCACTCACAATGACTACGACTCTCCAATACTGCAGCTCATTTACAGCCGTCGTGTTTATAGCTCTGCATGATGAGACAAGAAATGAATGGAGGGGTTTTAAAGGATGCAAACCGGTGGACATATGCAGTTACAGTCCCTTATTGCATGTAAGAGTGCTCTCCATGCCTGAAGAGAAAAAGGAAGCTGAATGAATTAATGGGATATTTAGAAATCAAGTGAGGAGCATGTTCAGCAAAAGGAAGTAAACAGCATGGAAATGAGAGGACAAGAGAGATCTGGGGCAGTATTAGACATCTGTTACTGCAAGAAAAAAAAGCTCAGGAGGGGTGTCAAAAATGATGTACAGTTTGAATTGTTCCATAACAGTATTTCAAAGCACAATATGGAGTTAACTGGGTCAAATATGGAGTGAAAGATGTTTTCATAGTCCAAATAAATAAATAAAAAACAATGACATCTTAAAGCAATAGTTCACCTCATGTAACACCAATGAAAGAAGATATTTTACCTTTTTATACCCTCATAAAAGAAGATATTTTGAACAACTTTTTATGTTATTATATATTATGAAAATCAATGGGGTCCAAAACTTTTATAGTCCAAAAAGGACATAAAGGATTGTGTGACTCCTTGTATGAACGTCAAACCTTGCCTAGCGGTCACACCTTATGACATTTGTTCACATGATGTGCAAAACTCAACAAGGTTTGATGTTCAACAAATACGTTTGTTTGTTTGATGCTGGCTTCTTTAGTTATTTTCATAGAGAAAACCATACTTGAGGTATTACACATTAAAACAGAACTAAAGGTATTAAACTAAAAGGCCCATTTTCCCAAAAAATTTACAAAATTCAAATTCAAAAACTAAATTTGAATCAACTTGGTTTAAAACATTGTCAAGAGTATCAACAGAGTAAAAAATGAGTGTCCTATCCTGCATCATGAGTACATGACTTGTTGCCAATGATTATTAAAAGAAAACGTACCCATATGTGATGAAGTCTGTGTATGAATGTGTATTTCGATCTGTTCATCATACAAAGTGGTTGTGACGCTTCAAAAGTCAAACTGTACTGATTAATGTTTACACCATCTTAGCCATTTTATCGTTTAAAGATAAATGATATATCGTTCAAAAGCAGCTGAAACATTATTCAGATTATCATACAGTTTGGAATGACATGAGGGTGAGTAAATGATGACGCTCTGCCAGTCTTATCAGGTTTAAGATGGTCTCCCTAAGCATGTCTTTTCCCAGCCTGGCCGCAGAACCCCTCTAAAACCAGCAAACAACACCTCAAAAGACTGCTTTTAGATGTTTTCAAACAGGGAAAGCACACAAGACTTTATGTTTCTTAGTAAATTAAATACCCCATTGTGTGTTAGAATGGAAATATTCACCATCGAATCACATGCAAAGATGGTCTCCCTAAGCATGTCTTCAGATTGTTTTTTCCCAGCCTGGCCGCAGAACCCCTCTAAAACCAGCAAACAACACCTCAAAAGACTGCTTTTAGATGTTTTCAAACAGGGAAAGCACACAAGACTTTATGTTTCTTAGTAAATTAAATACCCCATTGTGTGTTAGAATGGAAATATTCACCATCGAATCACATGCAGAAATTTATGGTACTTGATTTCAGAATACAAACAGCAAATCATAAAAGGATACTGAAGCACCATATAACACTTGCACATAAATATGTTTTTTGTTTGTGAGAGAAGAGCGCTGGTAAGGGTTCACTGCCCACGCAAACCATTAGAGAAGCTGTCACAAGAAACGAATGTAAAACAAGAGTAGCTGTAAGAATGACTAGCGCGGTGTCAGGAGACAGCATAAAAATGCAGGAAGGAAGGTTTAACCCTTCACCTGAATGGCAGTTTAATGCAAGTGCCCATATCAACACTTTTTCAATGACATTTACAGAAATGGCAGCCGTATCTTTATTTGTAACGCAGTGCAGGAGTAGAACAGCAGCTATGAACAGCATGTCTGTTCAGGATTACCTTGTGGTGCGCAAGTAACAGACAGTTGGAGTGCTCGTGTTCGCAGGCAATTTCATAGTCTGGGAGCAGGTTGGCAAGCTGCTGCACGAAGTAGACGACCTCCTCGTGCCAGGGTACGTTGGCCATTGTCAGGCTACTGGCTGAGCTCTCGCCACAGTATGTCACTCCCTAGAGGACAGGCAAAGAGACAAGAGGGACAAAACTGTAAAATTGGACATTTAAATTGTCTAAGTCACAAACACAGCATGATAAAATCTCATCATAAAAGTATCAACATAAAACAGACACAGTTCTTATTGGGTTTGTCTTATTGGATAGGTATGTAAGCCCGTCTCTGCCTCTGAATTAAAAAAAAAAAATTTTAATTGCGACTATCTCACAATTCTGACTTTTCTCGCAATTGCGTGTTTACATCTCTCAATTTTTCTTTTTCTCTGAATTGCATGATACAAACCCGCAATTCTGACTTTTTTGTCAGAATTGCATGATATAAACTCGCAGTTGAGAGTTATAAAGTTAGTATTGTGTGATATAAACTCGCAATTAAAAAACTCGCAATTCTGACTTTTTTCTCAGAATTGCAAGTTTATATCTCGCAAGTCTGACTTTATAACACGCAAATGCGAGTTATTAAGTCGTAATTGTGAGATATAAACTCGCAATTCTGAGAACACAAGTCTTTTTCCCCCCTAGAATTGGACTTTACAATTCGCAAATGCGAGTTTATATCTCACAATTCTAACAAAACTTGCATTTGCAAAAAAGATCTGAATTTTTCTCTCAATTGTGAGTTTATATCCCGCTATTGTGACATTTTAACTCGCAATTGTGAGTTTATATCACGCAATTCTGAGAATTTAAATGATCTTTTGGGTGGTCATTTCTTAGCCCAAATTGATGTGTGATTAATTTGCGATTACTGTAATAAGTAGTTTTAAGGATTACAATGTGTTCAGACAAAACAGTATAGAATTTCAACAATACCCATTTATCGGTTATTGGCCATAACATGACAATATTGGACCTTTTTTTATCATATAGGTGATGACGGCATTTCATAAAAGCAATAAAATCACTGTAACACTCCCTCAGGTAGCTTTCATTTAAAATATTCACAATCACACTTTTCAGATACAGCTGATATTGCCCTGACTCTTTGAACATTTTAGATTTAACTGTGCCTCACTGTACAAAAAGGGACACAAAAACACTCTGAATCATATCGGCGCACACAGCCCAAAGACACGCCGGCGCGTGGAGGCTGATTTGGTTTTTCTATGGATGATGGAGACTGAGACAGCCAGATCATCTCATTGAACTCCTACACACATGCACACGACAGGACAGTGTTCACATCACACCTCATAGATGCTGCTGTGATCAGGACGAACGCGGCTATGAGGGCTGCATCCACCACATGCTGAAAATGCAAATTCTGTTTACAATTTATACAATTTCTGTCATCATGAACTTTAATGTCTGATTGGATACTGAACCAAACTGGTGTCAAGTCAGGTCACGTACTCCGTTTGAACCTTCACACATCATGAAAAGTAGTCATTAATAATCCTTGGCAACAGAGTAAGTGACACATCACCGCTGGATGAAAACCGGCCTCATTTGTGGTGTGGCCAGCATTAGTTCATGAGTCTGCTTGTGTGTAGGAGTAGCTGTGCTGTTGAAAAGACATTACTCATCCTGTGACAGAGTGAAAACCCATTCGGTGAGGCTTTATCTTATTTCAGTCTTCATCACGCTGAGCTGTTAGCACTCTATCACGCCGGACAATCGATAGATGAACATCTTCATGCCGTTGAGAGAATTTAAAAAAAAGAGACGTCATGTGAAAGAGATATCAGATAAATCATAACTGTAAACAACGCATCAGTGGTTTAAATGGTTCAGAAACAAACACACGACAAGGGCAAATTAATGGAAATTAAAAGCAAATTAATTCTAAATAATGTGAATACTGAGTGCAATAATTCATTAAATAATCACAAGAGGCATCATAAGGGAATGATTAATACAGAATTTCCTACAGCTCTCTTTTACCTGAAGCCAATGGCTTACAATTATGAATAAATAAGTATAATTGAAGATATTCATAATTAGAAATTGTTTAATAGTTTCTTAACTGATACAGATGATTTGTGCAATTGTCTGGTAATTAATATCCAAAACTGAATTTTAATTAGTTTAGTTTAATTTCTGTATTTTGACAATAACGTAATGATCATTATACTTAATAATAATAATAAAAATCATCATCATAATAATGGTAATAATAATTATAATATAATTGTTATTATTTAATTTCTTAATTTTATTTTATATATTTTTCTTATTAGTATTGCTATTATTATTATATATTGATTTTATAGTATTAATTTGTAGTTATATATATATACATATATATATATATATGTATATATATGTATATATATTATTAGATGTATATTATATATTGTAGTAATTATTAATATATTTTATTATTTTATTTCTTAATATTATTTTAATATTTTGTTTATTATTATCAGTATTACTGTTACTATTATTACTATAGTTTTTTTTAGCATTATTTTGTAGTAATTATGTTATATATCATAATTACTATATATATTATATTTTGTAGTATTGTATTACATATTAGTTCATTCGCAATCAAGATGGTCACAAATGTTTTTATATGTTTTGTCTGAATATTAAAGGGGTCATATGATGCTGCTAAAAAGAACATTATTTTGTGTATTTGGTGTAATGAAATGTGTTTATGCGGTTTAAAGTTTAAAAAACACATTATTTTCCACATACTGTACATTATTGTTTCTCCTCTATGCCCCAATATAATTGTTATTATTTAATTTCTTAATTTTATTTTATATATTTTTCTTATTAGTATTGCTATTATTATTATATATTGATTTTATAGTATTAATTTGTAGTTATATATATATACATATATATATATATATGTATATATATGTATATATATTATTAGATGTATATTATATATTGTAGTAATTATTAATATATTTTATTATTTTATTTCTTAATATTATTTTAATATTTTGTTTATTATTATCAGTATTACTGTTACTATTATTACTATAGTTTTTTTTAGCATTATTTTGTAGTAATTATGTTATATATCATAATTACTATATATATTATATGTTGTAGTAT